GCCCCATTAGATTCTCCGATGCAGCCACTTCCGAATAACGACCTGAAACTGTGCACAGATAAAGGTCTCGGTGAGACTAGTTTATTCTAAAAGTTGCAAATATTTTGGTTGCTCCTATCCTGAAATATGAACATTGAACATTTTATAGCTCAAAATGCTTACTGCTCATATTTCAGGATAGGAGCAACCAAAATATTTGCAACTTTTAGAATAAACTAGTCTCATCGAGACCTTTATCTGTGCACAGTTTCAGGTCGTTATTCGAAAGTCGCTTTTTCGGTGAATCTGAGGGGGACCACAGGATTTTGATAAAAGAATACAATAAAAATATGATATCTCAAAAGCGAAGGTTCAGAAAGCAAATCATTCTAGACTTTTGCATTGCTCATTGAGACCCATCGAATGAATATAGTGTTGGTCCAAAACCGATTTAACAGTTCGAGAGGTTCCCTAGTCAGTATCATCTGATATATCTATATATGTCAGCTCGCGAATTTTCTGGAATTATTCCCTTCTGAGCAACAGATAACTACCGGTAGTTATTGAAGAAGTGTTCTAGCGCGAGACTAACTGTAATTTCATTTACTTACATGCCGATTGTTGCTCACGAAATAAGTGCCAAACGTTAGATTTAGAATAAGGATCAAGTCGTTTGGCAATTGGTACAAATTTTTCGATTTCTTCGGGTATTACAACAGCTCGAACAATTTTATCTGTGAAGGAATTAGTTATATCGTGCAAAAGATCTTTGTAGTATTGTTTATCTGTTGCATTCGAGCAGTAAATGTCTAAACACGATGGAATCATGTTTGTAATTTTCAGTTTTTCTTGCATTTTATCATTTTCTGTATTGATTAATTTATCTATTTCCAACTTTTTAGTTGATACTACACCAATGTGTTCCCAGACTTTATCAGCCACTGCACGCTGTGCCTTCGAATATTTTGTCCGTGTCCAAACTTCATCGGCTCGCAATCCTGTGTCTTCCCAATATAAGGATTGGGCAAGTAATTTATCGACAATATACTGACGTATAGGTGTGGTTTTAAAAGAGGGATTAAAAAGTACTGTATAAGTAAATGTTGTCTCGTTTGGTTGGTAAAATGTGTCTTGTAGAATTTCGTCGTCTTGGATTTTAATGTCTTTAAATGCCATTTGAATTAATTCACGTAGAAATGCATTCTGATATTTAGTTTCTTGATCTATTTTGATCAATATAGACAAAGGATTATTGGAATTTGTCAATTCTTTTAAATTATTCGGATAAGCCTTCACAACATTGGTTTGATATTTGAATTTGAATTCATTAAGAAACTTCTGACTTTGAACGAGCAAAACACTATTTTCGATCTTCTCTATTATTGATTCTAAACAAAAATAAATTTATGGAAATTATATAGAGCTACTATGAGTGATTTACTTTGTTGAAAGCAGAGATCAACCATATGTTCAATGAAGTGTGCAGAGCATGGATGATCACCAATGGCTGAGATAAATACATCGATTTCTTTAATTATTTTAACTATTGAATCAGGATGGTGTGCAAAACATGTTGTCCAGACTTTGAGCAACTCCTTGAATTCGTCATTATTGACTATCGATTGCTTTTTTGTATCAGGTGCCATAAAAGCTAAAAACCATCGTCTATAAAACTCAACCGAACGAGGATTGCTGCCATTTGTGAGTAATTTATGCAGAAATTCTTTTGTTTTAACATGAAAAAAAACACTTGATTCGATGGAAAGAATAAATATATTTCGGATGGAATTGAAATCATCCATAGTGGCATTCAATGTCAACATGTATTCTTTTATTTTATTTCGTAGTGGAACACTTGAATCGATTATGGAACGAATCGTTTTGAGATCCGGATTGGTGCCGTCTGATGACGTATTTCGTAGAAAATTCAAGAGAAACATTATATTTTCATGATTAACTAAAATATTTGAAAGAAAACAAATATTTTCATTTCCTCGAACGAAATCAACTTACTATAGAAGTGATTCTGTGTGACAGCGTCATCAAAATGTGAACTAAGTCGATTGATAAAGCTATCCAATTGCGCTAATGCGGGAACAACTTTAGTAGCACACCTTAAATAGACTTCAAATG